CATTATTATCATCTTTATTGTCATTATTCCTCTCATTACTATAGTCATCATTACTTTCACGATCATTATCATGGTTATTATCATTGTTATCGTGTTGTTATTGTTCTAGTTATTATCGTCTGTGGGTTTCCCGATATTCTGATGGGCGCCATTGCTCGGAGACGCGACGGTAGAAGTGTGAAGCGCGCGATGTGGTGTCGATATCTATCTATATGCACGTGTGTATGTGTATGTATGTATGAGTATGTATATGTATGTATGTATGTATAATATATATAATATATATATATATATATAATATATATATATATTATAATATACACACACACACACCACACACACACACACACACACACACACACACACACACACACACACACATATATAATTATATATATTATATATATATATATATATATATATATAATATATATATATATGTGTGTGTGTGTGTGTGTGTGTGTGTGTGTGTGTGTGTGTGTGTGTGTGTGTGTGTGTGTGTGTGTGTGTGTGTGTGTGTGTATGTATGTATGTATGTATTATATGTATAGTCAAAGAGAGAGAGAGAATCCTATTCTGACATATATATCATATCCGTGTGTCTGTGTGCTTGGATGGGCATAACTTGCATCAGGTAATATTGTCTTTGCCTTCCATTCTCATTTGAATATTCATTTATCTATTATCTCACAAGAACACATTTCCTAAGAAAGTTCGCGGGTCAATGAAAGTACAAAGGCTCATCTGTAAGTGATTATTTACACAAAACAATATATATATACACTAAAACGGAACAATCAGTAAGGGCGACCAGCGCCTTCAAAACAACCAAAATTCTCTCAAAAGAAAAAACAAAAAAGATGACACAGAAGACATGTTTCCCCTAAGCTACGGGTGAAGAAGGTCGGGTCGATTTCCCCCAAGAAACTCAGGGAAGGCAACTCGACCTGTGCGTCCCTTGCAAGGATTAAATCTACCTGATTCTAGGTGCAACACTAGGGGGGGGGGGAGGTATCGATGCGTGCAGCTGATGTGATCGAACAGCTTTTGCATACACGCAGACCTGAACAGCTGTAACAGAACAGATACAGAGACGAAACTTACAAAGTGTTATCCAAGGAACACCTGTAGAGGTTACCAGGCGGCCGGTGGGGACATGACGTCATAACGAATTTAATTTATGGCACGGGGGAATCTGAAGAGCAGCGGAGACGCCTTTTACAGCTGGTCTCGGGTTTCGACGGAGGATGTGGGGGGGGGGGGCGTGGGTGAGGACGAGCCAGCTGAATGGAACTTCAGGAATCGTAGTGCTCGAGTTTCAGCGATTTCAGGAGTCTGTTGAGGTCTCTTGCGTTGGCTCTTTGGATGTAATTCTTGCAGATATTCGGGTTCAGTCTAGAGTGTAGTGTAGATATGATGAGATGTAAGCGTCGATGCGTGTCGATCGGACGCCGTATGACATTCCAGGGGACATGACATGTTCACAAATGGTTATTGTATACAGGACCAACGGCATATCTTACGTGTTACAGGAATCGACTGGTAAAGTTCTATATAAAATTCTCTCAAAGACTAAGGCGTGAGTTAAAAACATCACCCCTTACCTGTTCTTCTTAACCGCGGGGTAAATATCCTCTCACAAATCCAGGTGTTTTCTCAGAGCATCTACTCGCCTAAACTGTCGCATTCGAGGCTGTCTTACACAAACGAAAATAATAATGGGATAGATAGTCTCCGAAGTTGTGATAATGAAGATATCTGAAGCTTTTTCAAGGGAATGATGTGTGTGGATTTCATGAATAGTTTAAGATCTGGTACTATGTTATTGATGGATGTGTTCCTGTGTGTGATATGGAATGTGAGAACGAGTAACTGTGTACTACTTTAAGATCTGGTACTATGTTATTGATGGTTGTGTTCCTGTGTGTGATATGGAATGTGAGAACGAGTAACTGTGTACTACTTTAAGATCTGGTAGCTATGTTATTGATGGATGTGTTCTTGTGTGTGATATGGAATGTGAGAACGAGTAACTGTGTACTACTTTAAGATCTGGTACTATGTTATTGATGGATGTGTTCCTGTGTGTGATATGGAATGTGAGAACGAGTAACTGTGTACTACTTTAAGATCTGGTACTATGTTATTGATGGATGTGTTCTTGTGTGTGATATGGAATGTGAGAACGAGTAACTGTGTACTACTTTAAGATCTGGTACTATGTTATTGATGGATGTGTTCCTGTGTGTGATATGGAATATGAGAACGAGTAACTGTGTACTACTTTAAGATCTGGTACTATGTTATTGAAGGATGTGTTCTTGTGTGTGATATGGAATGTGAGAACGAGTAACTGAGATATGTTCATCTTCTAAAATGTATAAGGCTGTATATGTCTATCTTCCTGTACTGATATGCTAACGGGGTATTTGTTGTATGATAAAAGTGTATTTCATTTGTCAGATGTTGCTAGTGAGATCAGTCCAGAATATATGATGAGATGCTGTGAGTTTAAATCTGACTTTAGTGAATGTTGTATTGCTGTAAGAACTGTGTTGCTTGAAGAAATGGATTTGCAAAATACATAATTGATGAGTGGGTAAATGTAGAAATTATGAGATATTTCTGATATTGAGTGTGTGTGGAATAGTGTCGTGTGTGTGATGGGTGTAATGTACGATGTAGTTTTAAATGTATGATATGTCTTGGCTGTTTGTGTTTGTTTATGTGTGTGTGTGTGTGTGTGTTTGCGCTTTTGTTTGTGTCTGTGTTTGCGTATGTGTGTGACTGTGTGTGAGTGTGTATGTGTGTGTGTTTGTATGTGTGTGTGTGTATGTGTGTATGTGTGCTTGTGTTTGTGTATTTATGTATGGATATCTTTATGTGTGTGTATTTGTGTGTGTATGTGTATGTCTGTGTGTGTGCGTGAATGCTTGGGTGTTCATTTGTGTGCATGGGTGTGTATGATTATGTGTGTGTTTGTGTATGTCTATGTGTATTTGTATGTGTGTAACTGTATGAGCGTTTTTGTGTTTGTGTATCTATATGATTATATATCTGTGTTTGTGTGTGTGTATAATCATGTGTGTATGTGTATGCCTGTGTGTATTTGAATGTGTGTATGTGTATATCTGTGTGTTTGAATGTGTGTATGTGTATGTCTGTGTGTGTGTTTGAATGTGTGTATGTGTATGTCTGTGTGTTTGAATTTGTGTATGTATCTGTATGTGTGTTTCTGTATTTGGGCATCTATATCTTTATATATGTGTTTGTTTGTCTGTGTGTGTATGTGTTCCTGTTTGGTTCGTTTGTGTGTATCGGTGTATATGATGATGATGTTGTGTGTGTGTGTGTGTGTGTGTGTGTGTGTGTGTGTGTGTGTGTGTGTGTGTGTGTGTGTGTGTGTGTGTGTGTGTGTGTCTGTGTGTCTGTGTGTGTGTCTGTGTCTATATCTGCCTCTATGTATCTGTATGTGTGTGACTGTGTGTGTGTCTATGTACGCGTGCGAATGTTCTGAAAAAATGAATGTCTGAGGTCCTGTCTCCGCCTGAGAAGCGGCAGCGGCGGGCTTCCTCCTCCTCTACTGCGCGTGGGGCTGAGCGGCGCTGACGGCGGCCATCAGCGTCGAGGCCGCCTGGTGGGGGATGTCGTAGCCTTCCTCTTCTGCGCCTCCGTCAGCGCTGCGCTCCTCCGCGAGCGGTTCAGGCTCAGGCTCAGGTTCGGGCTGGGGTTCCCGCTGCGTCTCGGGCTCCGACTCGACCTGGGCGTGGAGAGCGGCTCGGAGAGGCTCAGACCCGAAGGCCTCGGGCTCCAGCGGCCCGAGAGGGATGCCCTCTGAGGCTTCCCGGGGCTGCAGGTACTCCTCGACCGCCCCATCGGACGGGGTGGCGGCGACCTCCTCCTCGTGCGCGGGCGTCGGGACGAGGTGGGCGTCGTCCACCACCGTCTGGGCGGCGAAGGGCGCCTCCTCGTGGGCGGCGCGGTAGTCCTCGGGGATATAGATGGGGACGTCGTTGATCTGAATGACCTCCCGTTCCTGCGGCTGCGCGGAGGGCACGGCCGCGGGGACCTGCTCGGGGAAGCGCGCCTGCTCCTGAGGGAGGACCGGGTAGTAGAGGGTCTCCTGGTGCCTCTGGGCCGTCGTCTCGGGGTCGTACTGCACCGGGAAGTTCTCCGAGGCCTCGCCTGCGTACTGGGCCTCTGCGTCCTTTGGGGAAGAACCACAGGCTTAGGTATCGAAAGATTATTGAAATGAATGAATAAATAGATGAATTGAGGTACGTGAGAGAGAAAGAAGAAAAAAATGGTTTTCCACGAACTTTGAGGATTTTTTTTTTTTTTTTTTTTTTGCATTAAAAGATTATGGAATTGAATAAATAAGCAAACAGATAAATTTGAAAAGAGAAAGCTCGACGTCCTTTGAAGAAGAAGCACATGTTGGTTAAAAGCATATCTAAAAAATACACAAACAAAATAAGAAATAAGATACTTCTTTTCATTCAACTGCAACACAGATTACATTTGATTTGATATAACAAGATGACGATGATAAATAAAAAAGGTGAGAAAAGAAATAAGAGGAAAAAACAGACCTTGTCTTGGTATCAAAAGATATACAAAAAAATGAAAATAAAACTTATTTCATGCAACTGTAACAAAAAATTTGATATTTCAGGAAGACGTATCACAGTCAATGAATGCTAAGTTGCAATAAAGAGAAAGAAGAAATATACAAAAGAATGAATAAACATGAAAAATATGTTGAAATGAA